TGATTTACTTCAAAATTCCTGCAGTGCCTCAGACCAGGAACAACACATTTACAGCCATAATCTGATCATCTTGATCCCCAGAAGATTCTGGATCTGAGTTTKTGAAGTCAGAAAAGAATAAGATTGCAATTTGGGCAGGTTGAACCAGGTTTAGGGTTAATTGAGGCCCATCCCTGAGATCTAGACTCAATTTAATCAATGCGACACCAGCCTTGTTAAACCTAACAGAAGTTGCTCAGAGCTTTGGATTTGGCAGGTTGATTAGGCAGGTTAATGTAGGGAAAAATTTTAATTTCTTTTATTAGGTCGAGCTTCGGGCTCGGGCTCGGGTTTCGGGCTTTTTATCAGGGCCGGGCTCGGGCCCAAGTTCTAGGCCCGTTGGTCGGGCCGGGCTCAGGCTCGGGCCTATTATTTTTCCATTAATGAACACTAAAAGCCCGGCCCGAGCCCAGCCCGGCCCGGCCCATGAACAGGTCTACTCACAACCCACCCTGACCATGACCCACCTATACAACCCATCCCAACTCAAACTATGACATGTTTTCTAATTTCTCTCTATTTTCAAATGCATTAAACACTTTTCAAATAGCCTTGGGATTTTTCACAAAAAAAAAAAAGAAAACAAAAAAATGATAAAAAGTTCAAAAAATATTTTTCAAATAAAAACAAAAATTACAAAAACACTGAAAATGATAAATATATTTCATGTAAAACATCAAAAATTATAGAGAAAAAATGTAAATGAAAGTATCATTTCACATAAAAACAGAAAACTGTAAAAAACATAGAAAAATACAGAAAATGCAAAAAAAAACAAAAATTTAGAAATTTAGAAATTTAGAAAATATAAAATATCAAAAACAGAAGTTGCATAAAAACTGAAGAAATTATAGAAAAACACAAACATTACAAATAAATAACCAAAAATACAGGAAAATGTATAAATCTACAAAAAAAATAACAGAACTTATGAAACATTTAGAAAAATGATAAAATGAAAAGAAAACACAAAAATTAAAGGGAACACAAAAAATTAGAAAAATATAAAAATTACAGAAAAAACAACAGAAATTATAGCAAAACACAAAAATGCAAATAAATACCTAAAGTATAAGAAAACCAAACGTAAAAAATGTACAAAAACTACAAAAATTGATGGATTTTTTGAATTTTTTAATACAAGAAAATAAAATGTAAAAATGTAGGTAAAATTTTTTATACAAGTTTCCATCATTTTTTTAAATTAATAGAAAATTTTAAATATATATATATATAGAAAAATACAAGAAATTTTGAGAAAATAGATCTGATTCCATCTTTTTTACACGGGCAGCAAACCCAGATTTGTCTTCACAGAGGAAGACGGTGAAAACAAATCTGGGTTTGAACCAGATCTAGCAATCTGCGGTGGATCTTTTTTGCAAACTCAGATCTGCCTTCACAAAGGAAGACGATGAAGGTTTGAACAGATCTAGTGATCTGGATTTGTTTTGCAAACCCAGATCTGTCTTCACAGAGGAAGACAATGAAGGTTTGAACCAGATCTAGTGATCTCTGCGGTGGATCTGTTTTGCGAACCATGATCTGTGTTCACAGAGGAAGACAATGAAGGTTTGAACCAGATCTAGTCAACCTATCACTTGATCTGCCATGGCGGAAAGAGCAGACAGAGATCTGCTATGCGAACCCAGGAAGAAGAATAAAGAAAGAAAGAAAGAGAGAGAGAGAGAGAGAGAGAGAGAAGGGGAGAAGGGAGAAAATTACCGGTGGTTTTGATCGCCGTCTATTGAGAACATTTCATTCCTTTCTCCCCCAACCTGGCGGATTGGCAAAATAGAGAGTCCACCCTGACCCTTTTCGACCCTTCCCTCGACCCAACTGACCCTAACCCTTCACAACCTAATGGGTACCCTCGACCCAACCCCACCCTGACCCAAATGGGTGATTCGGCCCATAGTGACCATGACCCACATCTTAAATGGGTGAGTATGGGTGGGTTTTTAAGCGGGTGGGTTGGGGTCAACATTGCCACCCCTAGTAGGAGACTCAGTCAGGGCTGAATTATTAGTGGCTTTACAGGGTATTCAGATAGCAAACCATTTAGGAGTTGAGAATCTTCTCATCAAAAGAGATTCTAAGATTGTTGTGGGCTGGTTAATAGAGCCGGGATCAGTCATTTGGTGCTACAAGGATTTCCTAAAAAAGGCAAGCTGGTCAACAAATAACATGTCTGTTAGCTCACATTGGGTGAGCAGGTCAGCAAATGCTTTGGCCGATCATCTTGCTAAACAAGGGGTTTTGAAGGAACACCTGTACTGGGCAACATTGTAATGTTTTCAGTGTAGCTTTTACACTTTAATCTCAAGGGAGGTTGCACCTCGTGCCTCTCCTTGGGGTGCTTGTAACATTTCTGATATATCATTAATAACTCTCTTTTCAATTATCAAAAAAAAAATGTTGTAAAAGAAGTTGAAAAGCGTATCCTTGTTCAGGGGTTTTATGGGGGGGGGGAATGAGAAAAAACAACTAGTAAAACCAACTTATGGGCAGTTTCATGGTATCTGAAGGCAAAGTGATCCTTTTAGCAAGATTAAAGCAGGAGAAGAAAAGAACAAAAAGATAACAATGAAATGCAAGGGCTTGTTGAGTCTGTTCATAAGAACATCTTGGTGGGTTCTTGTTGCATGGTGCACCATTCATATGCAGAAAATCGAAAAATGAAACTTTCAGAATTGGTTCAAAAGATGGATGTTCAAGGAATAGAGGTTCAACTGCTTGATCAAAGTTGATTGGTCCCTTCAGAGAGATATTTTTTTTCCATGGAACAAGTTTTCTCCACTCTCTTAAATGACTAGATCCAAAACAAATGCAAGCCCGTAAAATGCTCCCATAAACATGTAACTGAAACCCTTCCAATTCCACAAGTTATAGCATTTGCAAGAGTTTCCAGGTTATCCAGTTTGAAGACAAAACTTCTTTGTACAAATTACTATAAACAAGCAATGCCATGCCCAAGGAATCACTCGCTCTCTTGGAATAGGGAATTGAAAAGGCACCATATCTGAATCCATGATTAGTCAAAAGTTGAACAACTTCCTCCTCTATATCCATATTAAGAAGCAGACATCATCCATAATGTGTATTCTATAGATAATATCGTCTACTATAAGTATCTCAAGAAATGTACTCCACAGGAAAGGAGATCTTCAATCAAAGGTGAGGGTCACAAATAAAATCCCACAGAAATGCATCATTATTCCTTCCTCCAGAAGGCATATAAGAACTGCTCTGCTAAGAAAGCACAGTGGGCTCCAAGCCCCACATCCATGAGTCATCCAAATTTGGATTTACAGTTATCTGATTTAAGCATGCTAACAACATAATCATCTAATCTACCCCCCAATCATACTGTGCCAGAATCTTACTGCCACACAATTCCCCTACAGAAATTCTCAAGCAGTACCTCAGACCACACTCTTACAACCTTCAATCAATAAATAGAAGGAAAGTTGTGATGAAAAGAATCCCGCCTGCACCTGGGGTTGGGGGATGGGTTACCCCCCGTTGTGTAGCCAAGAAATAAAAAATAAAAGAAAAAAAAAAAAAAGAAAAGAGCCACCACTGCTCTTGTCCTCCCAAAGTGGCTTCTATCCCTTTCCAGACATGTGAAACTTTTGAGTCCTTCAGCACTTTTTGTTTTCATCATAAGGAAACTTAATTAATGCAAAAAAGGGTAGTCCTCAACTCAATGATTCCTCTTCAAAGGGTAGATAAGCCTCCCATACTCATAAGGATCTAATCCCGAATATCCAAGGAATTTAGACAAAAAGCGAATGGTTAGGTGGCAGAAGCTATCCTAAAAATGTGGGATGCTTGGAATAATTGTACATGAACCATTCATTATTGTTATTTAGTAAAAATTTAACAGTTACCAGTTTTGTCCAAAGCACTCAGGCTTACATATGAGATTCTAGCATGCTCAATGATATTTCATTCATTGTTCATGGGGCCATCCAAAAACAAGTACTCCTTACAAGTGCTTCCACCACCAATGCCAGCACAGAAAACAAGGATGATTATAAAATGGGTTTGCTTGGCTTTTCTCTTCTTTACATTTTATAATTTTGGTCATATGCAGATTTCTTTTTTAGAAATTAAGTGCATACAATTAAAACAGAAAATAAAAAAGAAAAGCATGCAACATAAAATCTCACATTCGTGTTAGTATTGAGGAATGAAATGAGAACATGAGTGGGAAAAAATGTAAGAGAAAACCAGCCTTAAGCCCTTGTGATCATGTAAAACAACCACCAATTTGTATGTTATAGAGCCTATGATATCAACAAATACCTAATTTGATTAATCTGCTTTGCATCCGTAGCTACAACTTTTGCTTCACTTTCTGAGCGCTCTATATGAGAAACAGATCCTGCGACTGCTTCAACTTCATCATCAGCTACACTGTCAAAGGTTCCATCTACCCGAAGTGCAACTCCCTAAATAAAAAACACCACCATATCAAAGCATTACTTATCGCAATATAGAGGAAACAAGTACCCAGATGAAAAATGGGACCAAGCGAAAAATACCTTGGCAACTACTTGAACAAGATCACCTGAGAGTACCACAAGTGTATCTACGATAGCACCCTTTGTTAAGTTAGCGTCATTTTTTCCCTTTTTGATCATCCTTGCTCTTTTCAAAACAATAGCTGAAGAACAGGATATGTTAAATGAATTTCCCGATAGATCGAACAGTAGACGGGTAAAAAAATATCAACATTAATGTGATGACAATACAACCAAAAGAAAGACAAAATCACATATAAATCCAATAGATACAAAGGAAAGCCAAAAATTTAAAAATTATTGAATCAAATAACTGGTAACGAAATACAAATGGAGACAAAGACTAGTTGAGGAAGATAATCAGGGGGGAATGATCAAAGCCTATACTAATTTATTCCAATCCAATATAACTACGACAGCTCCTTGTAAAGAATGAATAATGATAAACCAAAACCTAAGTAGGAATACGTTATATAAGCATAATCCGGAAAGGAGTCCAGCGACCCAATTCAGGGAACAACCTAACAGATTCAAGAAAGCTGGATATGAAAGTGAAGCTTAACCCACGCACCGTATTCCTTTTCGACGCAGGCTGTGTGAAAGATGCCAGAATAGGTAGAGCCGTCCTTGACCTGAACCTCCACCGGTAGCCCTACGATGCACATGGTAGTGAACAGTAATGCATCACTCAGGGAAGGCGAGACGATACCTTCGTCCGAAAGATCTCTGGTTTTATAACCCATATTGCCTTCCCCTGCCCGCTGCTACTGCCAATCTGTTCTTTTTTGCACCCTTTTTTCTTTGTCCTGCTTTTCCTTCTCGCCTTTATGGAGAGATTGAAAAAGGGTACTCCAATGGCGATCGGAATTTACTTGCAACGGAGGGAATTGAAATGGAAAATGTATATGTGGATGGACCGATGGATCCAACTCGTGCAGCTTTTACTTGCCGGAGCAACAATGACCCACCTCTCTCGGTCTCTCTCTCTCTCGCTCCCGCCCGAGTACAATGCCATATGCTCTATTAACCGCTGCTAGACCATAAGCATATTTATGGACGCTAGATTGATGGGTTAGTCTATGGATCAATGATGGTACACAAACAACAAAGATCATATATATCACCTCATCTCCGAGGAGGCGTTTGGCTTTTTTTTTTGGAAAAATTTCCGATCATTATCTTGTAAATTGGTTTGAGTGATAATTTAGTCCCGTGCCAGTACCTGGCCTTTTTAAATGTGACAATCTAGTACCTGTCGTTAATGGAATGTTAGTTATGTAGTTATATATATCACGTGACCTCATGTACGATTTAAGACTTTTCAAAATGTCAAAATTACTCTTAAAAATAAAACACAGTGTTCATCATCTTCTTCCTCAAGAAGATGAAAAAGCTCCCAAGCTCTTTGTCACAACTCACAAACACCAAAACCCTTCTTGCATATAATGATTGACCATGATACCTCTACTGGGCCATGTTACGGTGCGTTAGTGTTGTTGTGTTATCGAGCCATATTCAATCAATCGTTGACTAAGGCCGTGCGTTTGGCAAGTCTTTCCGTGCGGTCTTCCGTCTGTATAGAAGCCCATAAGACCGAAAATCGGTCTATTCCCATTTGGTTTGCATCAAATCTCGCCACCAAAAGATATTGTGCCGAAAAGCCCAGAGAAGCCCAATTTGAGCTGATTTTGGGAAGCTACGATCGTAGATTCTAGGCTTTTATGCCCTCTTAGAGCTTTCCCATACATGTTCGACTTCTCACAAGCATACAAAATTGAACAGTAACCCCTGATGCTAAACCCCCCCAAACCCCTCTCATTTGCACACTCGACACTGAATCACTCACTTCTCACAAGTTCACTTCCTCCATTCCCTTCATCCTCCTCTTCCTCCTCTTCCTCCTCCTCCTTCAATCTTCTTCTTCTTCTTCTATCGTCACCATCCTCCTCTTCATCTCTCTTCCGTGATTCCACTAAAATATTTTCCCCTCTTTTGTAGGAGATTACAAAGCATTTGGTGCTCATGAATCTCGCGGCAGTGGTAGTCTGTTATTCGGGTGGTGGTTTGCAGGTACAACCCCCATCCCAATATGTACTGTTAGGGTTTTTTTTTGCACATCCATTGTTCTTGTATCTGCACATCTTAGGTTTAAACTTCCATATGTTTACTCCTTTTTTTTATTCTTTCGTATGATGTCGTTGCTTATTATACTTTTTTTTTAATTTTCATTGCTTTTATTTTTAATCTGAAAGTATCAGATTTCAATATTGTATGATGCTTGCTTTTTTTTTTAATATAAAAGTATCAAATTAACTCCATTTATATCATCCACATCAAAATCAGCTTCATGCATTGCTTGGCCTTGGTCTAATTTAGGAAGCCATTATTAGCTCCAAAAATTTAAAAAAAAAAAGTAGAAAATGAACTTTAACTTTAAAATAAAACTATGATCTCAGTAAAGCTAAAACCAAGTTAAACTTCCAATATTTTCTTTTTCTATTCATCTTTTTCAGCAACAAAGAGATTTGTCAAAACAAGCAGATAAAAAAGAGAGAAGTAATACAAGGCTCAAGATCCATTAGAAGCATGACCCAATCCCAAACCTCAAAGAGGTAAAACCAATCCACCAAAAAATAAAAAGCAAAGCAACAAATGGGAAAAAAACATTTGCTACCTTAAGGGTGAAATCCCCCAACACAATTCAAGTCTCCAAAAGCTACACAGACTGCCAGATTTCTTGCCTCCCTAGAATGCCTCAACCTCTAAAGACCAACAGAAAGATTTTTGTTATCCAATTAATAATAACCTCAGCCTTCCTCTACCTGATGTTAGACAGTGTATGCCCTTAGATCCAATCAGCATGATGTACATTATGACATTTATTGTAAACGATACATATTTGATTCATGTTATTGTGGTGTATTTTTGTGTAATACTCTTAAACCGGACACATATGAGACTCGTGTTAGTTTATAATCTTCACAGTCAATGGATAGATCTGGGGAGATTTATCCTGCCAAGGTTGACACTGATGTGCCACCAAGTTGGTTGGGGTGGCTTGTCTCAGATACCAGGGTGAGACCTGAGGCACATGCAGTGTGGGTTTTCTTAAAACCCTGAACCAGACCAAATTCCAATATTGCCCTGGACCTTGGAGACAGATGGGCAAAACTGAAATGTTACACCTGACCCCTATATTCGATTATGATACTGCACTAGGTGTCGGATTGGGTTGTCTTTGATGTGCCAATCGTGAGATTCTTAGAGGGGGTCAAAACTTGGGTATGTTGGGACAGTCCGAGAATTCACCTGAGTGAGTGATCATAGTGATATGATCAACCTCTTTGTCGGACAAAGTGAATGATCGGGAAATGCATTCTCTTTGACGGAAACCTAAACTGCCGGTAGTGGATTTCAAATGTGTTTGAAATTTGGTTTTGCAAAATATATTTATATAGAGATATACTTATATATTATGGTTTCACAAATTGTTTGTGAAAGGTTTTAATTCTCGGGATCCATGTGAGTAGAGAGTGCAAAACTGTACCTTGCAACCGAGGGAGAGGTCTTCTCTTGTCGAGCAGTGTTTGATCATTAAGGGCTGAGAGGTTAAGTGTAAGACCATTGAGGGTTATACCTGATGGGCTAATCTTGCATCTGCCCACAGTCCTTGGGTCGTCATAAGATGGCTTGACCCAATGACCATTTAGTGTAAATGTTGGGCCCATTAAGAGCCCATAGTGACGGACTCAAGGGTTCACTGTATTCAGTAGTGAATTTGACCAGGCTTTGTAACAGAGGTTAGGTTGAACCCATGTGTCTGATGTGTAGATCAATGATAGGGTCCCACACCATACAAAGAGAGCCAAGCTAGCCAGCATTAAAAGGAAGTTAGCCTGAAAGTTTAATGGGCCTAAAGCCAATTTCGAACTGGGTTAATTGGATTAATTAAAAAGGGGTGAATCTGGGTTTAGATCAGCAAATAAGGATAAGAGGATAACTCTTATATACTTGAAGCTGATTTTGATCTACATATAAGATAAGGGATTATCCTTATCACTTAAAGAGTCCAAATCCAAATAAAGATTTGGATCAGGAGACTCCTAATCAGATTAGGAGGTTGCCTCCCTGGATCAGGAGACTCCTAAATAGAGAGCAGGGCGGACCTGAAAAAGACACACAACACAGAAGCCAACTCAGTTTGACTGTTTCTGCCTTCAGTTCTTTCTCTCTCTGCTCTTGCTGCCCTACCCTATTCAATCTCCATTTATTGGAACTGAACAAGATTGGATTTTAATATTGTTTCTTGCTAGAAGAAACAATTCTGAAGCTGTGCTCACTATCCCATTCGATTCTTACTGAAGAATGACAAGTTCTTGGTGAAGAAACTACTTGTTGATCCTACTTCATCCTAAGCTATGTCATCTTCAATGGAGGGAGGATTTGGTACACTCTTTGGGCGTTAACACCTGCATTGGGAGGAGATTTTTGCGTGGACTCCGTATCAGGTATATCCCTCCCTAATCTTGGTTTCAGATTTGGTCCGGTTTGGTTACAAGAACGAACCTTGAAAATGTAGTTTTCTAAATTGGGAATACGATTCCCAGATGGGAGTAAAGAAATTTTTAAAATTTCACCCAGCCTTCCTACAGGGTTCGGCCATCCATATGATGGATCTCCCATCCCTTCAGTGGTATCAGAGCCAGGTTCAAGTCTTGAACCAAATTAGATCAGATTTGGATATGCGCAAATGGGCAGAAGGCGTTCTACCTGATTTGCGCAGTTAGCGTTTTTTCTAGGAATTGGTTCCTAGATTATGGGCGAATGATCTGGAAAATAAATCTTTATTATTCTGTTATATTTATATAATTGTTTTGTGAATGTTTCTTGAATATTTGGGCTACATGTGTAATGGAGATTGAATCATTTTGGTGCCAAGATTCGCGCACCCTACTATTTCTTATCTATTCAATTTGGTCTGTAAATAATTTTTTTTTAGACAAATTGTATAGGAATTCGATGTGTTGTAATAATAGAAAAATTAGGTTTTTCTATTTTATTTCCAACTGGAGATTGCTGGAGTGCGCAATAGAGGAGAAGAAGATTTCGCAAAAAGAAGTTCTGCGATTTTGTAGATATCGATTTTGCAATCTGCGATTAATTGTTCTTTGCAGGTTTGCAGGATGTCCAAGAAAATCATAGTGTAGCCCTCTGATTTCGTTTTCTTGATAATTTGATTATCTAGATTTAATTAGTTTTTCATATCATTATTCTTGAATTAAATCTTGAACTGGACACCAAAACTTGGGTCGATTTGTACCATATTTGGTCTAAACTGGTTAGACCGAATTCTTGGTTCAATGGGGTTGGTTTTTTTGACCCAAATTCGATTTTGGCTAGAGGATTGATGGCCCACTTCAAGTTTTTAATTCGGCCCACCTCTGTAAAACCTAGTTTTAATATGCATTAGCCCTGATTCATCTATATGGGCCGAACTGGTCTTTGCAGTTCATCCCATATACCTAGATAATGTTATTTGATGATGTTATGGGTTCTGTTGGGTTGATACTGATTTAACCTAATTAATTTAGGGTTTTACAGATATTTTAATTGATTCGATCAATTTGTTTCATGCATGTGATGTATGGATGTGTTATGTGCTACGTACATGGACCATAAGCATTTGGACCATGTTACTTTGATAGTGGTTGTTTCGCACACCATGGCTGAATGCACATCATTGCCATGGTGTCCACAAGATCATTGGATGATCTCCCTATTTGATGGGCCCCACATCAGCTTCCTCCCCAAGAGGGACCGTGTAGAACCCTAGTCGTTTAGGGCCCATTTAAATATGGCTTTGAGAAAGCCAGTGTGAGCCACTTTGGTTTGGCCTAAATAAAACTAGGGCGTAATTATTCGTTCCTCCAATGAAATATAAGTGCATGTGATAGAGAGATTCATATGATGAACTCTCTAAAGGCCTTCCATCATTAGCATGAAGATGGGCCATTCAGCAATGAGGAGATGCACCATAAAATTGGGATATTCATT